AAAAGTGCCTCCTTTGGCCTTATCCATGTTTCTTTGCATGTTGCCCTGCAACTGCTTTAATTGTGTTAATTTTTTTTTACGCGTTAATTATTTCAAATTAATCGCATGCGTTATATGTACATGTTCTGTGTTCGATTCAAATTATAACCTGACAGTTAAACAGCTGAGCAAACATCTTTTAAACTTTAGATCTGTAGTGTCTGCTTTTTGCTGGCTGTATGTGGGTGTAGTAATAGAAAAAGGGTAAAGAGGCTGTTCGGGTGCTGAAACTTGCCAGTTTAGATTTATCATATGATATCATATAGCATGATTTCGTGGGTCATATTGTGTGGATGATGATAGAATAGCAAAAATGTGGCTGCAATTAGTACAGCTAGAATAAAAGATTATCCTTTGTCATGTAGGCCTTGTATACATCATCTCCCTCTGAAGGGAATAGTGGCTTGAAGGAGAGAGAGCTAAGTGGTTAGGACAGTGCAGGCTGCATCTGATGCCTTTAAAGTGTTTGCCATCATCTGTAATTCATACTTTGAAAGTAGGAGTATTTGATATGGTTCACTGGCTCTATTATGAGAACTCTAGAGGGAAAAAAGTTATGACTTAGTCATAGGGTCAAATAAAACTTGGCTCACTGCTGTAGGAGGATATGAAGTAATGCTGTCAGTTTTAATGGTAAACATGCTTGAGTTAAATATTTGCATGTAGCTCATACTTCTGCGGTATATCACATCCACATGTCTCAACCACTTTTAACTGTTTCTAGTCGAAGCTCAGTTGACCATTCTCTGAGGCCTCTTAATGGGAAAGTCATGGTATGACTTCAGCCGCGATAGACTTGGTTTGGAAAAGCTTGCTTGTTCACGCACAGTCAAAAAGGAAATTATTTTCTCCAACAAGAGGACATTGTGTCTTTAAACTGTATCTGACTGTGTGTTCTGATTTGGCTTATTTTAAGGGATCCTGTTATGCACATAACATTTACTTGATATTTCGACAAAAAATAACTAATTTTACTATATGAACATATTGCAACTAGCAATATTCAAACCATTTATTTTTGAAAACCTATGAAGCTAAATACTTCTAGACCGTAAACAACTTAGTATAATTTACACTGCTACCAGTAATAACCAGAAATCTCACATAAACATGTGTCTCAGTCAGTGCTTTAGAAATTAAAATAGTAAATCCTTAAATTGTCTCACAATATTAAACAACTTAGAAGTGTGAAGGGGAAGGACTTCAAAATTTACACCTAAGAAATGGGACACCACTCTGGCGCTCTAGCTATCACGGACCAAAGTGGGGTGGATTGAGCCTCTATGGACGTGGTGACCCTGATCGAGATCTGTTAACTTATATGAGATTGACGATGGTAACTTTGGTATTTGTCTTCAGGAAGTCACAGAAGGCAACGATATTATGTTATCATAATGATACAGAGTTGCAATAAGCAGACCCCTAGTTTTTCACGATTCAGCGATCGTTAAATCAATAAAAAGTCGCAAATTTTTGCGATCTGCAAAATTCTCAATTAAACCCTAAATAATTACAAAACATTAAATAATCTCATAAAACATCAAATTCTAAACCATATAATCAAAATATATTTATTTCACTTTGCAAATAAATGTTTTACATAACTTATTGACGTTGCATTCGCAGCACACGTGATGTATTTAAGTGTCTCTCTTACAATGGCTGCATCCGAAAGCGCCTACAACTCAGTAGGTACGGCATTTGAATTTAAACGTACTACTCAGCTGTTATAAAAGTATGTTCTATACAGTATGATTATCAAATGTATGAATGGAATTCGGACATACTACATCCACCATTTTGTCATAGTCACGTGACTTACCTGCATCAGTTGCGTCGCTTCACTCCTATTCAAGACTTCTCTCGCGGAGCTTCATGGAATAGCGGACTTCATGGGATGCGCACTTCAGAATCTCGCCGGAAGTAGTAAGTCAACCGGGTACTTCTCGCATACTGAAATTTTATGAATTATAAATAAAAAATAAAAAAAAACACTATACTCGGCTCGCATACTGATAGTGTACTATGTAGTGTGGAAGTATGCTGTTTCGAACACAGCTAATCATTACGTTACATGGGGGCGGGGTGTTGTGCAACCTGTGCTGTAAGCAGACACAGATGAAGCGTGAGTGATGTGAAGTCAATGCAAAGATCCGATTACACATCCTGTGGCACAAATTAGGCGTTTTGTGCATTTGATGCGCTTCAGACTGCAAAATTAAGTGTGAGCAAACATCTAAAAAATGGAGCAATGGAACAGACACAACAGCAAGCAGCTTACAATGATGGAGTCTGGTTCAAGCATGGTAGCCGCTTTTCTTGACATAATTGAAAGACATTATTTGTGCTTTACACGTATGGCTGGGATTATGGTCTTAATAAAATCGATAAGTGATATAGTTTTTTTTTTTTACCCAGAGAAAACCAAAATGCTTCCCTACAATAAGTTTTACGGCAATCCCTGTTTTAGGTGTATTATGGTAGGTGTAATATAAATTAGAGTATATATGTAATTTTTTTATATTTATATATTTTAATTGTAAAATTGTCCAAAAATGTCTGGGAATTACTGCCACAGTATTCTGGGTATTGAGTGTGGTCCTGGAAAATCTTAGTTTTCAAGGGCTATCTACGCCTTCAAGATAAAGAGTATTGGGTAAGGGCTAAAGGCTGATTTATACCTCTGCGTCGAGTGATCGGCATGACTTGTGCCTGTGTTACACATAATCGTGCATTTATAGTTCTGCATGCTGTTTGTGTTGCTCTGCAATAACACTTCCGAAACGCTAGCTGGCAGTAGGTTTATGTTCCTCGGTGTCAAGTTTCTTCGTGGGTATTATGTTTTTATGAATGCTACAAGTAGCTAAAACTAGCTCATTCTGAGGTGGGAACCAGCAGACATGCAACAACTTTACTCATAAGATAAACACAAAACAAAAGTTTCCATTTGGAGCTCTTTCATGGGACTCCACGCTTGTAAACACTTGCTCCATCGAGCTCGCGGATCTTAGTGCCTCCCACGCTTGTCACTGGTACCAAGCCAACCAATTAGAGAGCTTGCTTCATGTGTTGTTGCGTGTATAGTTACATTTTTTTTTGAGAGGTGCGCATCAGCGCCAGCAAGAGCTATGCTATCGCTCGAAGCCAGCGCCGATGCATATGCTTGACGCAGAAGTATAAATCAGCCTTTAAGGGGTGGAGTTGGGATCGGGTCTTAGTGTTGTCATAACTCATTGGTGGTGATACAACATAAATTATCATCACATTTTTAATATTTAAGGCGATTTGACAAGACTAAAAGAGAAACCATTATTGCTAGTCAAGATAAACTAATGAAGTAAAATAGGTGAAGCATTTCAAATGTTGTGAGGTGGATGAGGGCACTTTAGCAGTATATCAGTGTATAGTACCCACTGCTCTGCATACCCTTCTGTACCTCTCCAAGTCAGACTTTGTTTTAAACTTCTGGTTTTTGCAGTTTAGAAACATGTCCAATTTTGGAAAGTGAGACTTGAAACCAAACTTAAGAATAGATGTGAAAGGAGTATGAATAGGCAGTGTAAAATTGCCTAAGATTTCTACAACTGGCATCTCTGAAAATTGCATTTGCAGTGTTTTAGTAAAGGACTTCTTTGTTGTAACTCGCTGATCCAAAGTATTTATGAAAACTGGACTGGGCAATAAGAGGAACTTGGTTATGACTGAACAGGTTACTATCTACCGTACTTATTTAGTTCCCTAAATTGATAGTAAAGTTACTTCTACATCCCTCATTAGTATGTCTGGGCAAGTAGTCAAGGTCATTTTCATGCATTTTTGTCATTAATGGCAGTCCTAGTAAACCTCCAGCACATGCTTTCATATGAAGCAGTATTTGCTACACAGAAAATTTAATCAGATGAAAATGACATTGAGATTATTATTTTGTGTTAATGAAAGCCATTTGTGTAACTTCTCCGGGGAACTACAGCTCTGTGAAATACATTTGTCTGTGAGAAGATTTTGTAGTGTTTGATGTATTAGTCAGGCTAGGGATGCACAATTTTGGAAAATCTATATTTTACGATATTTTGTTTACTGCAATACAAACTCCAAAATAAATATGATTTCACCAGATGATTTAAATAGCTCTTTTTGGAAGGATTTTATTCATTTAGATTTACTGAGAAAATCAAGTGTTTTTTAATATAAATTATAATAAATTACAAGCATAAATGATTAAATAAACAGTGTTTTTCTGAGGAGTCTAACAGTGTTGAAGTACAGAAATTGATCAGTCAAAAGTAAAATAGCATGGTCACCATTATATAAATAATTCCAAAAATAGTAATATATTTGTTTTAATCTTTAATGATCTAATAATCTAATCCTGCAATGTGACAATTTCAGATACACACATTACAAAATTGATGCTTAAACGATATATTGTTCAGCTAAGTCACACTAAAAGAAAGCCGTTAAATCTTTTTTTATAATGCAATGTTGTGGGGATTTCCTGGGCTGCCTTGTATTGGGATTTACTATTATTTAATACATGCTTCCCTCAAAAGATGTGCGTGACAATCCCAGCTTTGCTCATTTGTGTTTACGATATTTATTTTGATTTATTGCCCAGCTCAACCTGGTTGTGGTTTTGAACATGTATACCAGACATATGTTGCTGTATAATGCAAAAAAATATTGAATAGTGATTTCTTGCTAATGATTAGGGTTTTAAAGCTGGCAATGTATAGGAGAGCTCGTCTAAATTTAACCAAAATGGATGACTAAGCTGCGAAGCTCTCCTGAGAATCAATTCTGCACATGCAAAGCTGTCTCAGACACTAGAGCTACAGACTACTAACAAATATATATATATATATATATATATATATATATATATATATATATATATATATATATAACTGTGCCTTAATTTGATCTGAAACACTTCACTGACTGCATTTTGTTGTCATTTTCAGATCAAGATGTCTGACTCCAGCAGCGGCAAGCCCATTGTGGTCACTTCCTCTGTCTCTCTTAAAGTTACTGCTCCTTCATTTTACAACCAACCCAAAAAGTTTGCATCTGTGGCTCCTCCACGTCCCAAAGCACAGATTGCCCCATCACAGCCTTCATCATTTGTAAGCACTGGTGTAATTGGACGAGTTGGAGAGGTTCCCCCACCCCCCTCATCCCTCAGTTATGGTGAGGCTATTACTATGAAAGATGATGTTATTTCTAGTCAGTGCCATTGTTTTAAATTTTTAGTTTTAAGTTTTATAATTAATTTGCATACATTATTATTCTAATAAAGGACACAAAATTATATAGATGTAATTAAGTAAAATTTATCCTGAACTTATAGAGCTAAATTTTCGTGCCCTCCTGTATACTGTAATAGAACTTGTTTAATTTAAAAACAAATTTCTCATTTACAAAATAGTCCAATTTAAGAAATACTATGAAAGAATTTTGCACAAAATACATATTGTTCCTGGTAAAAATAAAATAATGAAGAACAAATTATTATTTCTAATAATAGTAATAACATTAATATTATTTTTAGACGTACATTCATTTGTACAAAAGTAATAAGCATGTATTTCTGTCTCCTTTTTTTTCATGTTAAACCTAACTTTTTTTTTGAAACGCTGTTGTAAAGCTGGTGTCAAATTAGGATGTACATAATAGGATAAGTTCTCTCAATTATAATTTAGAGAAGCTTTAAAAAGGAAGTTTAAAGTGTTCTGTGGTTAATATTCACAGACACTAATTTGAAGCACATCACAGTTTGATTAGGTGTTCAGATTTAGATCCGCAATCATCTAAATTGTCATCCATACTTGCCAAATTCAGGAACATACACAACATTTTTATTTTAACCTCTTAAGGCCCAAGGTGTTTTTACATGCATTTTTTTTTATTTCTCTTTTCTATTTGGGCTTATTGGAACCTAAGTAGAATAAAAATCTAAGTATCATCTTTTCATATGATGTACTTTTAGAAAAAAAAGTATTATGTCCATATATGTGAACTCATGATCCGAATTTACATAAAACACTTTTTCCTGACTTTTTTTGTAATGCAAAATTAACATTTAAAACAAAAATAAATAAATGTTTTGTCAATCAGAGTAAAAACATTTTTATTTCCATTTTGTACAGTTAAAAATTGTGTTTGGGACATTTTATATGCTGCAAAACAGTTGCAGGATAATACTGTATGTCTGTAACAAAATATAAAACATTCAAAGTATTTTAAATAGCCACTTAAGAGCTAAAATGTGCTGCCCACGTATGTGGCCACTAAGCCCTAGGAGGTTATGCTTTGATTCCACAATTGCAGCAGAGATTGCATCCACCACATAATTTAAATGTCAGAGCAACTAGCAGTTCATTCCGCTGTGACGACCCCATTAGGTCAAGGACTAAGCCAAGAGAGACTACCATATTGTGTAAATATGCGGGGCCCTAAATTTAATTTATGTAGTAATTATATAATTATATTACAAACCAATCATGTGTGCTTATGAGACGGCAGACTTTACTTGTTTTTTTTAAAGATTTGTTTGTCTTTTCAATTGCTGTAACAGATTGCATGGTTGTAGTAACTCTCCCCAGCAGAATTACTATACTATTTAAACTACTGAAGTCTAGTGACGTTTCTTGTCAACAATGTTTGTGACTTTTTTTCTTACTCCTTCAAGTGTAACTAACACTGTCTGTACACTTTTATACTGCGTGCGCCATCCGGAAAGGCAGGCTGCAAAATGCCTGAGCAGCGTTACGCATAGTCCGTAAATATTATTGAGAAGTTATCAAACTGTCATTATTGTTTTATCAAAAAATTATATATTTTGATAATTATCGTTATCGAATTATCACCCTAATGTAAATACACACACACACACACACACACAAACTAAAATTAAAAAAAAAATTGGTCTTTGTTTGATGGCATACCTAATGAATTAAAGACCTGTTTTTTCTCATGATGTATGCTAATGTACATGCAGTATGTAAATAAGCTATTCTGTCATGCTCTGTGTTGTCGTGAATAGGACTGTTTTGTCTTTGTGAATTGATGCAAGTGTAATGAAATTTACTGGCTCTATTTATTAGACTTTCCACCCCCTCCTCCTCCTCCGCTGGATGATGCCGAACTCCCAGCCCCACCTCCAGAATGCCAAATCACTCACCCTGTATCTGATGCCCCTCCTTCATTCCCAGCCCCTCCCCCAGTCGCAGAAGACCTTCACCTCCCTCCACCTCCTGAGGAGCTTACCTCTGTTCCTTCTGCCTGCTTCCCTCCACCCCCACCTCCACCTCCTCCTGTCCCTGAAAATGGTGCAGGTATCAACTCGCAGGTATGTTTGTATATTCTAATTTATTCTTAACAAGTTTTTACTTGTCTTTATGTCTTTCTCAAGCTTTATGACTTTCTTATTATTGTTTCTTTGAAATTAAAATGCTTTTTAAACTATACTGACCGCAGTTTTGTCCTCATTAAAACCTTTTGTCCTCATTTAAACTTTATTCCAACTAGTAAGGCACACCATTTGTTTTAAATGGGTGGTCCACAGTGTGTTTGTAAGATGCAATGCAATGTGTGCTCATGCTTCACTTGTAGAAAATCACGTAATTTTTTTCATATATATTACTTTGATTTTATACTGCCACTCTGCTAACATGAAAACGACTGTTATATGTCCTAGTTCCTCTGAAAGACTCGCCCTCAAGAGGTTCTGATTGGTCCTAACATAATGTGCTGTGATTCGTGGATCAGCTCCACGTCACGCCCCTACAAGCACAAGTTTTTGTGTTTTGTAAACAGTCCAGTCAGAGGCTCAGAGCAGCTGTTAGCAGTGTTAGCTGCCTGAATTAGACAGAAATAAAGAGCCCACAGCTTACGCCTGCTTTCTAAATTAAAATCTGAGTGTCTTTCACATATTTTCAAAGGAGCATGTGCAAGTAATATAAAACATTCTCATATCTTTTGTGAATTTGTTTTTAAGATGTAGAACACATGAAAAGCAGCTGCTTATAGAGATATGCATAGAAAGACACTGCAGTGCTGCTAAAGATTGTAAGTCTTTGCGGCAGGTTGACTGATAAATATGAATTTGTAGCTGAATTGTTAGTGGTGCCAAACAGCATTTCCCGTTCTTTTGATCTGTTTTTACGTCCTCGCTACAGCATACTGTTAACGCTATAAACTGTGCATGTAATTGATCAATTTTAACAAATAAAATACTTACAGGTTGAGGCTCACAATCCACAGCTTCATCTGATGAAAGAGTTTTAGCCGAATCCAGCACTGAACTGAGATTCTGGAAGTTCTCCTTTGTCAAATGCTAGCACCATATATGTTTTTTACATTATTCTCTGGAACATAATTAAAATTTAACTAAGTACTTCTCTCTTTGTGTCGTGTCCTTTGGAAGCCCAAATACAGAAACGGAACAAGCTCTGTAAAATAAAATTTGAAAGGCATTTTAGCTTTCTCTGCTTTTTCATTACAGTGCCTCTGGCCACCCCCCTTTGCTATGTAGGGTGTGGGCGTGAGGTGAATGCACGTAACATGAAGTCCTTGTGATCTTGCTAGCCCGGATATATTTTTTGTAGTCCCCAAATTTTTTTACTGTAGTCTTTGCTAAGCTAACCCTGTAAAAGCCAATATCTGCTTTTCCACTGTTGGGCCAGTGCGAGCCAGGGCTTTTATCGGGTCGGGCAGGGCCAATCGCCCGGGAGGTTGAGCAGTGAGGCTGAAATCATGTTGTGTTTCCACTGTCGGGCTAGTAGCTCGCAGCGCATCACGCAAACCCCGCCCCCAGAACGTCCCCCGAATCAAACATCACACAACCCGCCCACTTCAGCGGGAATCAGGCAGTTAAAGCACAGCATCGCATCATCACGAAACAATTCAAATAAAGACAACCAAAACAAACAAATGACCCGTTACTGTACAGCAGTAATTTATATGTCTATATGCACATACCTGTGTGTTCTCATTCATCATATTCATATACTTACCGACTGACTGTTGGCATCGAAATCAAGTAGTCTTGCTACTAACAGAGGGATGCAGTGCAGGGAGCGCATCATCCATAATAAAAGACCACAAAAATTCTCCACTATTAACTCTGTATAAAATTTATTTTATAACATTCTCATTTAGATAGAAGCTGTCAGTGCTCCGGAGAGAACTGAAACATGAATTTTTCCCTATAGGCTTTATGACACTTAATAGGTGATTTCCCTTTATTTAAAGATGTTGCTTATTATATCTTAAGTAAAGGAAAGTGTTAAGTATTTCAGCACATAAGAGCAAGTAATAAAATAAAGCCTATATTTCCTTACGCTCAGCAGCTATGCACTAATAAAGCTCTTATTGTTTTTAAAATTTCCTTTTTAAATTTTACCATGTCATATAAAAAACATAAACACTTGTTTGAGGACACAGAACACATTTTGTTTTTGCAGTTTTCCCCCGATGCGTCTGTAAAGTGGCGCTGCGCAGCTGGATGACAGAAAGGTAGCTTAGTTAGCTTAGTTTCTGCTTTCACTTACCCCAGAAATGCTCTGTTTGAATGCTTTGATTCATATAATCGTATCCAAATGCTTTAGGAATAATATTTAAAACCTTCTCCAGTGTTTCAGACAGGCTTTTGTAAAATAAAAGTTTAATATGGTTTTAAAACAGTTTGATTTGTATATAGTACCTAAATTGTTATAGCTAGCTCTTATTTGTTTTAATTTTATTGGTTTATTTATTTAATGCGATTTTATTTATTAATTATTAAAATTATTTCAATATAGCTTAGGCTATTTTATCAAGATATGACACTATTGTGTTGAGCCTACAAAAGTGGAAACGTAATTTGTAAAGTTTTATGTATTTCTGTTTTGTTCATATTGTGTATTATCTCCAAAATAAATTAAAAAAAAGAAAAAAGCCGCTCACGGCATCAACAGAGCTGTGAAGGGAGCACTCTTTTGCGGTCTCACATTCACATGCAGGCATCTAAACGCGCACAAACACACCTTTTAAACTTTACAAAAACTCTCGACAACCTTTACTGTCTGCTGTGTCTTTAATATGGTGTAAAGATTATTATGCGTTATTGAAACATTAAGGAGGACACAGCAAAGAAAAGTCACTTATAAATTAACTACTTTATTATTTTATGCAACAGCCTTACATTTAAAAGGGAAACATAAGGGCGATCATACGCAAAAAGACCCCAGCCTATAAGGCTAGATGTTTTCTTTCCCTTATTTATTTATTTGTTTGGCGCATGTACTCGTGTGCACTCGGAAAACTGTGCCCGCCTCTCCTTTCACTCCGCCCCAAAGCCCCAGCCGGCCCTCTTTGGTCCAAGGTATTTGGCAGGCCGAAAAAGGCCGGCCGCTGGCCCCAAGAAAGCCCCGCTTTGGCCCGATTATGCCCCGGAAATGACAGTGGAAATGCGACTGGCCTTGGCTCGCCCTGGCTCGCTCGCTTTAGATTGTCTCCCTTTGCATTGCATTTTGAGCGTATTACATTCAGGGATGCTGTTTATATTCACACAGCTGCAATACACATCCACTAAAGTTTAAAATGTGATATCGTAGTGGACCAACCCTTTAACTAAATGATAGTTTTCACAGCAGTAAACTGCCATATAACAGAAGTAATGACAGCATTAAATGTGAGATAAATTCCAGCTCTGCAATAATACTCTAATATAAAATGAAAATTAATTTTTTTAGTTCTGATTAATTTATTGTTGATTTAGCTTGATCTTTAATTATGCAACCAGTTTAATTCAACTATAATGCAATGCTGAGCTGTCAACTCAGTCTTATGAACTGAGCAAGCCTAAAGTGACAAATTACCCAACCCCCATCAGGTGAAAGTTTAAAGGGCCATGAAACCCCCTCGTTTCAGCAGGGTGTTTTCACACCTCCACTTTGGAAAAAGTCAGAAAAGTGGGGGTGTCCAGCTCTGTTTAGGGGGGAGTGTCGGAGGAACTAATGTGGGAGGGTGTGGGAGTGTCTATTTGGGCACGCGCGAGTTTCAGTCAAAATACACACACAGGAGAAAGAGATGGTGTTTAACCTACATGGACATCTGTAGTGGAATTATTTGCCAAATTATTAACTGGTGGACTTTAACTGCAGTTTGGCTCTTTCATTCAGGGAATTCATTCATGTCCCTCGCGACAAACGCGATATTTGATTCGAGGATCTGCTCTAAGCGTGTATTTTTCATGCAATGTTTGATACCGCACGGCGAATGACAGAAAAAAAACTCCGCATTTCCCGGAAACTTAGACGCACACGGCAGGTAACGTCAGAAAGCCTCGTGTGTTATTCCGGTCACAAAATGCGGTGCTAACATGTTTGCCCTCAGTGCAATAGTTAACTTAATTCGATACGAACAAACTGAATAAACAAAGAGCACTGGTCGCTCACTTACCAAATCTGTAGAGACAGGTCAATCACCAGCAACTAGAGCCGCGTCTGAAGAGAAGACTACATCCGGAATCCGGATCTCAGCGTTTGCAGATGAGAACAGCTCTCAGGTAAACAATAATCCCCCTTAGACACGTAAGTTATTGTTGTCGCGCGTCGCGTACACTGTTAATCCACACGTGAGTCTGAGCTCTCACAGAGAGAAAATGAAAACGAAACTTAACTGCAGCAAAATTTAAAAGCAACACTTCACGCTTGTTTTGCCAACACAACGTGGCGTCTCTGTGGTGTAAAGACGGTGACACTAATGAATATTAATGAAGTTGCACAATAGAGCGCGCTGATTGGTTTGAACCAAGCCTTACTCATGCATTAATGCATCACACTGTAAGACGTAATAAGGCACACTCTGGCACAGACGCCCAGTCTGCACGCTGGAACACACGCTATTATGTCATGACCGTGACGCAGCTTCAAAAATTCTTTTCAAACAGGAAGTACGAATTTGCTTGAAATAACGCAAAAACAACCAATTTACACTTTTTAGTGAAATATAGGTGTCCTAATAGTGTTTTTAGCAGTGTGGGACACATATACGACTGTCAATAGCTCAAAAAATGTGTTTTGGTGTTTCGTGACCCTTTAAACCCAAAGTAAGGAAATGAAAGGAACGTGGTGAAACCAAAAATAAAATAATTTAAAAATCAAAGAATAAAATGTATTTAAAAAAAAGTTTGCCACTTATACGTGTGAAATAACAAGATTTATGAGTAGCATGTAACAACAGTGTATGTATGCATGATACATAGTATCTACATGTCAAATGTTGGTGTTAACTACACTCTCATATGTTAATAAACATTTTTTGCATGTTTCTTCTATTACAGTCCTCTATATTTAATAATCAAGGTTTAATACTTGAGCCTTTAAGGCAGTTGTGCAGTGCAGTTAATGTGTAACATTTCACAAATGAAGTGGGAAGTGCCTTTATTTTTATTATCATGCAACAACACTCATTGCACAAAACAATGACCAGCATACATCTTATATTGAGTGAACAGTTACTGCAGTGTTACCATGCAAGTACACAGTTAAGTGTTGCACAGTGGATTTTGTTTTACAAATTATACAGTAATTTGTGACATTTTTACACATTTTCCTACCATGCAAGTACACTGGATCACAAGATGAAACCTAATTTAGCCTTAGAACTTCCATTCTACTTAGGTATTCACAAATGCATGGTATGCACACAAGACTAATCCAGTGTATACCAGACTGGTAGCTGTTGTATTGTAGACTGTGTAGAAGTAGAAATTATCCATTATTGTTCTTAAAGTGGCTATCAAAGTCCTACAATTTGATGTTCATGCTAAAACAGGTCGTTTTTTTCTGTTCATTTTAGAGCATTCTGTTTTTTTATTTTGATTTTAAATTTGGCTTAAAGGGGTTTACCTCACATGAACTCTGTTTTGCCTGTCAGAATTAGTTTTAAAGCAAAAGTAACAGGACTAAATTTGAAAATGAATGTTGATCTATCATTCACATCGTTGACTTGCTTATTTTTTTTGTAGTTGTTAATTTTTTTCTCATTCATGTCATCAATTGCAAACTATTCTACATTCAATTTAATTTTTTTTTTTTTGATGTTTCACTAATTCTCTCTTGCAATGGCCTGTTATGGCATTCCAGCTTGTGCAATTGAATCACTGTCTTTGTTTAATCCGAGAAGGTGGGAAAGTAAAAAAAAAAAAAAAAAAAAAAAAGTGGTTTGCAGCTGTAAACTATGTTGTCTTGAGATGCCGTTACCCTCCTGACTGCTGACATGTCCATATAAGCACTGACTCTATTTATGGATGTGTTATTCCATTGAGTGTGATGTAATTGGGGTACATCATCACACACCAGGCCTCATTCAATCAAACAGACCCACTCTTGGAAGCGAAATCCACTGCATAAACATTGTTCTTTCTAGACATCTTTTAAAGGTGCACAAAGCCCCCAATATCAATGAAAAACATACTCGTAATTGTCCGAGATTTGTAATTGCTACTATTATTATTACAAGTATTCTATATTTAACTACACAGTAAAGTTCATTGAGACAAACTTTAAGACTGGCTTGACAAATCCTGTTGGTAATAGTTTTAGTTTAAAAACAGTTTGGAAAGTATAAATAGATAGACAAACAGACAGATAGAAAGATTAGCATGTTAGTAGCATTATTCTAGCATGAATAAGCATGATTCTAGCATGACTTAACATGTCATTAGCATGATTCTAGCATAAATTAGCATGTCATTAGCATTTTTTTAGCATGAATTGGCATGTATTTAGCATGATTCTAGTACAAATGAGCATGTTGTTAGCATGATTCTAGCATGATTTAGCATGTTATTAGCATGATTCTAGCATAGATTAGCATGTTATGAGCATGATTCTGACATGAATTAGCATGTTTTTGGCATGATTCTAGCATGAATTAGCATGATTCTAGCGGACATCCCAAGTGTCTCTAAAGTTGCTGGTGCATGCCGCAAATGCATAGACACTCTCGGATTCCCGCATATTGAATGATAATCTCCCGGAAATCGTGCATCTCTCGCCTGGTCCTTAAAAACATTGCACACCCCTCTCTCCACCGCATCCCTCCTAGTTCTTCAGATGTTTTGTTGTTTAACTAAATATAAATCTACATTATCGATGCTGTAAAAGGACCTTATGAAACTGAAAATAATCGCATCAATCTTTCACCTGGAGATTTCATTGGCTGAACAACACGTCTGTGCATATAAGTCATTCATAACAGAACACAATCTAACATAAGCTTAGCCTGACTAAAATAGTTTCAAAACAGAACATTACATGTCTAACAGTAATACTTCAGCCATGGTGTCGTCCTTCCTCCAGCGTGCTAAAGTAACTCCAATTTTGATTTTTTTTTTTTTTTTTTAATTTCATTTGATTTCTCCCGGTCCGTCTCGTGACTGGGCGGCCGCTGATGTAGATGGCCATGCGCAAATGGCGTATCTGCGTGAACAGATGTGAAGAAGTCCGAATCTACTTTTGCTGACAGACCTGCTTATCGAAATTATGGGAGATTTTGGTCAGACTCTATTTAATTGGATGACATTTTTTAGTTTTATGCCTTACCCAGAATATAAAAAGACATATAAACACATTTAGATAATTTACTGTAATCATTACTATTGGACTATGAAGAGACTTTCAACCAGCACAACAAAAAATGTATGGGATTTTTCCGACAGTCCTGGGACGTTTTTTGGAAAACCGAAAGTCGGATCAGTCGGAAAAGATAGCAACCTGAGTCAAAATAGTCTGGTGGTCATAGCACAAAACCTCTAGGAGGAGATAGTTTAATTTTTAGTCTCAGAAGAATAATAAAAAATATAATATTAAGCTTAAATAGGATTTCAGTAGGTTGGATTTGACAAGCCAGCCTAATAATAATTTTAAATAGGAAAACAGTAGGTTGGCTTTGACAAGCCAGCCTAATAATTGTTAAAGATTATATTTTGCATTTAAATGAATCTAAACAACTATTCGGTCATGGTGTCTGATCTCAAATGTTTTCTAAGTTTTAGGCTGTTGATTGTCATGCCTAGTGATTGTACTGTGCTGTGGTTTTCTTTGAGCAAGACTGTAATTTGTTTCTCAGCTCTTCCTAGTTTCTGAGACCATTATCCCCCTCTCATTACAGATTCGCATGCACATTCTACTCTTTTATTTTCTCAGATAATTGGATCTTATGGCTTTAACTAGGCATTCATGTAATCACAGGCACATTTATTTATTTGTTTTTATATCCCGTATTTTACAATTGTGATAATTTGTTTATTGTTTCTGAGCTCCATCTCTGCTTTTTCTGTTTAACATATTCATTTTTTTATTGTTTTGTACTGCCCCACCCTTTTTATTGCCTCACATTTATACACTGTTGTCCTATTTCCAACATTACATCTAATTTCACAGCTGATTCACCCTTTCCTGTTATAAAACGCATACTCTCAGACCTGTCCTACGCTTCACACTCGTCTAGTCTCAAAAGTGTTTTTTTTTTCCTTCAAATTCTCACTCACACTTGTCTTGTTCTGTTCTCCATAGAGGCTGTTCGAGAAACAGACAAGTTTTGATAAGCAGTTAGGCTCTTTGACTGATATGTTATCAGAGATGGAGACTAGTGGACCTTTCAACCCTAAGGTAAAAACACTGCATTTAACTAATCCTGAATTATTTTAAATTAAACTTATTTCATTTTTGAACCATGGTTGTTGAGCAGAAAGAAAATATGTTTCATAATGTTCTATATATATAACATTATGTATGTATGCATGTATGTATGTATGTATATGTATGTATGTATATATATATATATATATATATATATATATATATATATATATACACATACATACATACATATTAGGGATGTAACGGTATCAGAATTTCATGGTACGGTAATACCTTGGTATGAATGTCACAGTACAGTATTTATGGAATCATTTACAGGAAAAACAAAACTAATGAAAATACCCCAAAAAAGTGCCAAAAGTGTCAATGACATACAAATTAGCCATCTATCTGTAAGCTTTGAAACAAGAACTTAATTTTTTCAATTTTAATAACAAAAAATTATTAAACCATGTAAAAAAAAAAAAGTTTCAATATAGTATTGTTGAAAACTCATCACATTCAACATTTAATCACTCACTCACTTAGATAGAGATGAGTTTTAAGGAAAATTATCATATAACTATAATCTGGTAAAAGCAGGGATCTCTGGGCATTTACAATGTCCCCTGCAACAGAAAAAAAAACCCTCTCATTTGGGACTGAGGTTTCTGGGACAGAGATATGACTTGGCCCAGGTTTACAGCAGTGGGTAACAATGTGCATTGTCTTTCCCCCACTTGAGAGGACAAGCCATGAGTGAGATAGAGGTCTCTTTGCGGTACAAGTCAATGTCTGCATCAATCTGAACAGTGTGCTGTATTCTACAGTCCCCATGACTGTTATTAGTCATATTCCCTAACTTGCAGGCACGTGCACACATAGGGCTCAACCTGTGCAGTGCACATGCCCTTTTTAGTCTTGGATAGAAAGTGCCCTTCCAAAATGATCAAAAGTGCCCCCACGACGCGACACACCCTCTGTCCCGCCCGACGCAACAACACCATTATTCAGTACGTGCACGGCATCAACAACAACAGCCCCCCCCCCTCTCTTTTTAGAGAGAAACCGAAATGCTTCCACACATTCGATTTAAAACCCGCTTTAGGTTCGATCATTTCCAGCTCTTTTTCATCCCCGCTACTAGCAGCACACTCCATTTCCGCATTACTTTATCTGTAGCGACAACAGACCGCAAAGGTTTTTCTAGAAAAAAAAAAGATTAGTTTAAGTCAGAATTATTACCCCCCTCAATTATTAGCCCCCCTATTTATTTTTTTCCCCCAATTTCTGTTTAACAGAAAGATTTTTCTCAACACATTTCAATACATAATAGTTTTAATAACTTTAATAACTGATCTATAATAGCAGATTTTTTTTTTTATCTTTGCCATGATAACAGTAAATAATATTTGACTAGATATTTTTAAGACTCTTCTTTACGGCTTAATGTGACATTTAAAGGCTTGATTAGGTTAATTAGGTTAACTAGGCAGGTTAGAGTAATTAGGCCAGTTTTTGTATAACTATGGTTTGTTCTGTAGACTATAGAAAAAAATAGCTTAAAGGGGCTAATAATTTTGTAATTTTGCTAAAAATTTAATGGTGTTTAAAAATTTAAAACTTATTTTATTCTAGCCAAAATAAAACAAGACTTTCTCCAGACACACTGAAAATTTCCTTGCTCTGTTAAACAGAGATAGACGGACGGACGGACAGATAGATAGATAGAGCAAAAACAGTCATCATTTACTTACCCTTCACTTGCTTAAAATCTAACTGACTTTCATTCTGCCATAAAAATCATACAAGGGAAAGTGAATGATGAGGTAATTTTCATTTTAGAGTGAACTAACCCTTTTGTTAAAGTATTGAATAATATCAATTAAATATAACATTAAAAAAATTGCATGTTTACTCAAAATGTGAAATGTAATATAAATCTAAATTAAATTGAACTTGGTTTAATAAGAAACCTATATATACAAACAGATATTTACTTTAGAAAGCAAATTTCTATTCTTTACTTTGTTGTATATTGTTGCCCTGTTAGTATTTTATCATATATAAGGACATTGTTGAATAACAAAGTAAAAAAAACAAAAAAACAAAAAAAAAAACAAGCAGTATATAAAAATATACTGATTCCATTTCCAAGAATTACTTTGAAATCAAATCTTGCAACATTCTGTTGCCACAGTTTAAGATTTTGCAAGAGTTTTAACTTCCGCCTCTGATTCAGATGTTTGACGCGTGTGTCTCTGTATATGTTTTTAGTTACCCAGCCAATTTTCATCAGCACCAGCACCAAAGCCAGCACCAGGACCACCACCAACCGCCCCAAAGCCTGCCCTTTCCTTTCTACCCCCTCCTGAGCTGCAGGATCATCCTTCTCCTGCTCCATGGGCTGAAGAGCTACGTGCCCGAACACGACCAGCCAATCTGAGCACAGCGTCTGTCCCTGCTCCTGTACAGTCAGTGGCTAAAGGCCCAGCTGTTGCTCCAAAAACCAACTTCCCTCCCAGTCAGCTCAATTCAAATTTGGCTTCCAAAACAGTTAGTCCCGCACCTTCTGGAGGAGCAAGAGGGTTTAACCACACTGTTAAAAGCCCTCCCCAAAGCACTTTTCCACCACCTCCTCCTGCAGCTCCTCCTGCCCCTATTCCTCCGCCAGCCAATATTCCCAAACCTGCTTTCAATCACTCTGAAACATCTCCCATTGGCAGTCATCAAAGCTTTGCTCCACCTTCTCCTGCTGCTCCTAAAACATCACCTGTCTCCACGTTCAACAGACCAGCAGGAAACAATGTTCCTTCAAAGGTGGGTGAGCTTTATATTTAAACTGATTTAGATTTTTTTATTTGATTTGATTTCTTCATTTTCGAACAGAAATATTAGACATAAAATATCATTAACAGAAAATACATTTCAACATGGTTGAAAATGGAGTGGGATGAAGCACAAGCTTATTATTTTCCTACCCCATTACCACATACATCATTCGTCTTTTACTTAAACTTATTTCTTCTTTTACTTATCTCTTCTTTTCACATGAGACATATTTTATCCTTTTGGCATCTTTGACAAATTATATGATTGATTTCATTTTTACCTTTACATTTTGTAACAAACACCACAAAAAAATCGTAGTACTGCAAATAGCCATTAATTAAAATTTCATCAAATCTTTCTCATTTTATTCTTTCAAACACCTCTATTCATTATTATATTCATTTAATAATATATATTTATGCTTTTAACTTTTTAAAACTGATTATTATCCTGACATAGTTTGAGAGTGTGATCTAGACTGTCCCATAATTTCCCACCACAGACAGAAATACACAAACTTTTTTAAAAAGTTGTCCTTGTTTTCAACCTCCTAAAATTTAGTTCTTCTCCCAAGTTATATCCCCCTTCTCTTTCTCTTTCAAACTGAAATGGGTTTGTAACAAATAACGGTTTGATTAAATTATGACTGTTTGCAGTTTTGGAAGGACTATGCCTTTAAATTTAGCTGTTTTTCTTAAATAACAGTGCATTATGATTTTACATTAGAAATAAGATGTAATGCAGTGTATAGGCAGCTATGAGTTATTTAAAAAGCATAAAGTGTGTTAACATTAAAGGGAGGTCATTGGTATTGTCAGATTTAAATGGTCTTTCTGTAAATGTATTCTAACCTTCTCAAGGTTAGTTGAAAATAATATTAATAATAAAAGTTAGCATGAGAGACTACTTCAAAACATTAAAAAAAATCTTACAGGCTCTGAGCATTTGGCATATGACTGGCAGTGTAATAAGGGCTTATTCACACTATGCAATTTTTTTAGCGTAAACGTGCTTGACACATGTATGACCATTCTGCTCATATCTCTACAAGTTTTTTTGTATACAGTGGCTATGTCTGAATACCAATGTGCTCTATTTTTTTTCTTCTTCTTTTTCTTGTTTTTTTTTATTCTGGTCATCAAGGCGGCATTATTACATGTAAATAAATTGGTAAATATTAAAACTTAAAATAACTGCTTTCTTATTGTATGTAGTTTCAATTGAAATTATTACTCCAGTCATTATTGCTTTTATTACTATTACCATTCATAATAATAATAATAATAATAAATAATAATAATAATAATATTAGAGTGATTTCTGAAGGATCATGTGACTCTGAAGTAATGAAGCTAAAAATTCTTTAAAATCACTGGACTAAATTATTACACTGAATTATAAACTACTTTTAGACAGTTATTTTATAGTGCAATAAAATTTTACAATTTATACATATTTTTGATTAAATAAATGCAGCATTGGAGAGCAGGAGAAGCTCATTTTAAAACATTAAAATATTGCACTGACCCCAAACTTTTGACTGGTAGTATATATTTTACTAATGTCACTTTCAATTTTTAATAACGGTGAAATCATGATGATTAATTACATTTTAAATTTAAATTTGGATATACGGTCGAAGTCAGAATTATAAGCCCCTTGTTTTTTTTCTGCCAATTTCTATTTAATGAAGAGAAGATTTCTTTAACACATTTCTGATGATAATATTTTTATTAACTCATTTCTTAAATAGGTTAATTAGGTTACCTAGGCAGGTTAGGTTAATTAGGTTACCTAGGCAGGTTAGGGTAATTAGGCAAGTTATTGTATAGCGGTGGTTTGTTCTGTAGAGTATCGAAAAAATATATAATTTTCATCCAGCCAAAATAAAACAAATTGTCTTTTGGACTTTCTCCAGAAGAAAAACTATTATCAGAAATACTGTGAAAATATCCTTGCTCTGTTAAACATAATTTGGGAAATATTTAAAAAAGAAAAAAAATTCAAAGGGAGTGTAATAATTCTGACTTCAACTGTATATAAAACTAAAACTAAAACTATCTAAAGAACGGAAGTTGAAGAGATTGATTTCTGAAAATGTCATTTATGCTGTTGAATGTAGGTGTCTGGCTCAGGCACAGGTTCAGGTCCAGGTGGAGCTCCTCTAACTATGAGAGAGGTGGAAGAACTGGAGAAAATGACCAAGGACTTTATTCAACACATGGACAAACATCCTCCTGTGATCACCTCCCCAGCAACAGGTATTACACAAAGTCAGCTACACCTTGTGTACACATCAACTTCCTTTAAGCAATAGTTCACCAAAAATAAAAATTCTGTTATCATGTACTCCCTCTCTACTTGTTCTAAACATCTTTGAGTTCATTTCTTTCTTCTTCCAGTGTTTGTCAAAATATCTTTTTGTATGTTCAACAGAAAAAAGCTCATAAAGACTATGAGAAAATTATATAAATGAAACATTTTGAATGAGCACTCCTTTTAAGATTTAAAGTGTCATTTTCATTTGTTCTTATTTCATAATTTTTTTAGTTTAGATTTAAATGTAAGCCTCACTCTGAGACATCCATATGGCTCATGTTTATCACACAACACTCAAGCTGTACAGTAGTAAACATAGTCTGTGCAATGGTGCCAGACTTTCTTGCTCTTTCTTAGTCTCCCTCTATCCTTCTGTGTAGGTGTTTAACTTTATATAGCTTCTATGAAGTATCGTTGTTCATTCCTCTATTGTCAGTGCCTAAACACTACGGCAGTTCAACTCTTTTGTCTTTCTGGAGAAGTATTGTGATAAATGTCACCATTGAGTTTTTCTTAGATGTCTATAAAAGGGAATGCTACTGTAAAATTATGGATTTAGACAAGGATAGATATGCATGAATGTACTCTATTTGTGTTTATATACACTCACCGGCCATTTTATTAGATATACTTGTGCAACTGCTCGTTAATGCAAATTTCTAATCAGCTACATGGCAGCAACTCAATGCATGTAGACATGGTCATGACGATCTGCTGCAGTTCAAAGTGAGCATCAGAATGAGGCAGAAAGGTGGTTTAAGTAACTTTGAATAAAGGGCATGGTTGTTGGTGCCAGACGGGCTGGTCTGGGTATTTCAAAAATTGCTGATTTACTGGGATTTTCACGCACAACCATCTCTAGGGTACAGAGAATGGTCTGAAAAAAGAAAACATTAAGTAAGCGGTAGTTCTGTGGGTGCAAATGCCTTGTTGATGCCAAAGGTCAGAGGCTAGACTGGTTTAAGCTGATAGAAAGTCAACGGTAACTCAAATAACTGCTTGTTACAACCGAGGTATGCAGAAGAGCATCTCTGAATGAACAACACCTTGAGGTGGTTGGGCTAAAGCAGCAGAGGATCACACTAGGTGCCACTCCTGTCAGCTAAGAACAGGAAACTGAGGCTACAATTCATACAGGCTCACCAAAATTGGACAATAGAAGATTAGAAAAATGTTGTCCTGGTCTGATGAGTCTTTCTGGTGTGACATTCGGATGGTAGGGTCAGAATTTGGTGTCAACAACATGAGAGCGTGGATCCATCCTATCTTGTATCAACGGTTCAGGCTGGTGGTGTAATGGTGTGAGAGAAATTTATTTGGCACACTTTAGGCCCATTATTACCAACAGTGATCAGTGTATCCATCTTCTGATGGGTACTTCCAGCAGGATAATGCGTCATGTCATGAAGCCCAAATCCTCTCAGACTGGTTTCTTGAACATGACAATGAGTTCTCTGTACTCAAATGGCCTCCACAGTCACCAGATATCAATTTAACAGAGCATCTTTTGGATTTGGTGCAAAGGAGATTCACATCATGGATGTGCAGCCAACAAATCTACAGCAACTACGGGATGCCATCATGTCAATATGGACCAAAATCTCTGAGAAATATTTCCAGTACCTTGTTGAATCTATGTGACAAAGTTAAGGCAGTTCTGAAGGCTAAAGGGGTTCCAACCCAGTACTAGTAAGGTGTACCTAATAAAGTGGCTAGTGAGAGTATGTGTGTATATGCACACAGAACAAATTTAAGAGACCATTTGAGAATTCCTAGTTTCTCAGATTATTTTCCTTCTGTAGACTACTTGTACAAATTCACAGTATCAGTGCCACTTAAGAAATAATTTTTTTTTCAATTGGTGCAATAAATCCTTATATTCAATTATAATTTCTAAACATATTTGTAATAAGTAAATATGATTAGAAATGTGTAGAAAAAAACAAATCTTTACATTTTACTCAAACCCATATCTAAAAAAGGTCAGAGAAATATATGATACGTAAATGTGCTCACATGCAAGTAGTTTGACATCATAGGGAGACAGACTCAATTTTAAATATAAAGTTCATTTAGCATGGTTTTCCTGCCATTCTGGTATTGGTCAAGAGACTAAGTTTTAGTAATATCACCAGTAATCTCACAATTTATAGTATAAATATAAATAAAATAAGGTAATTTTAAAAATCTGTTGCTTTGTGGAGATGATTGGACTTTTATACCTGACTATTACACACTCTATTGTGAATGGCAACAGTTGCTATAGTAGGACTGGTAATGACTGGTTCTAAGCCAATGCTGGGGGTTAATTAGCGAGACTGCGCTGTTCTACCGAGACCTCTAAAGAACAGCAGTGACCTCTCCAGTCACCCAATTATCACCCTGGAGACTAATGGCTGTTTACCACTCCATAATTGACTTTTCTTTACCTTGTATATATCTTATTATCCCCAGTCTCTGTTTTTCTTTCCTAATACAAACATCTGTTTTCTTTTCAGAGGTGTGTGGTAAATGTGGAGAGACGCTGTCTAGATCTCAGCCAGCAGTGAGAGCAATGGATAAACTCTTCCACTCCCATTGTTTCTGCTGTGTGAGCTGCCAGCGCCCCCTGCAGGGCATGCAGTTCTATGATCGTGATGGCACACCTCAGTGCGAGGAATGCTACATGGTGAGATGATATGTTTAGAAAATGTATAATGATGTTTTGCATGCCAATTTGCCTACTTGGACTACATCCAAAAAGTGTACAATTGATTGAGTTTTGATTGATTGAGATGATTTTGCAGGACAGGGGTCTCGAACTCAAATTGGCGGGGGGCCATATTAGTCACTGATAATTCATAGGAGGGTTGTTTTAACATTCTAGCACATGCAAAAAGTGGAAACCTGATGTAATTGATGCACTCAGACATTGTTCTCCAGGATATCAAAGCTCCTTCGTTTTGTTTAAATGGCTTTTAATATACTACAATTTAATAATGGGCATAATAACAAATTATTATTTCCCAATCAATTTTTGCTTAACCAAAAGTTTAACAGATAGTGTAAGACAGCAGAATGCAATTTGGGTAACTTTATTGACTTTATTGGCAATTGTTCTCAATTTATTTTTGTAAACAAAGAGGAGTAATGTAAATATTCACCTTTACTTTAACATGTTCAATTTAGCCAGCAGTAAAATTTTACTTATGCACATTTTTGTACAATTATTAATATCCATAGACCATTTAAATCAAATATTAGCAAAATAAATCATATTAACACCACCAGCATAACGTGCAAGTCATGACGAGGTGTTTGTTCAACAAAATACAGAAACTTTAAAAAATCTTTAAAGAAAAAAAATCTTTAAAAAATCTTTAAAGAATCTTTACAAAAATAAAGCTTTAACAAAAATAGAGCACTTATGGACCTATATTTCAACGTTTAAATCAGCCCCAGAAATAATCTGCATGTGCGTTACTCTTGACCACACACTAAAGCCTAGTTCATACTACAGGATTTTAAACATCAGCAGATCGCTGTGCCGTTCACACTACATGACCTGACTTTGTGTCTTTTAATCTCTGTGGTGTTCACACTACGCAACACTCCGTGAACGATCCACAAGAGGGGGGTCACACACTACATGATCTGACAACAACTCATTCCCCATCAGTTCATTCAAGCTACCAAACCACAGCCAATGAAATTTTGAGGGAGGAGTCGTCGGAAAAAGCTGAACACTATTGGCTGCTTGTGTGCTGATTACATCACTGACAGTGTTTCAAGCTTTGGAGAAAGCATTTAAAAACATCGTCAAATCAGCTAATTTATCAGCGGATTAATCACTCATCTGCAGGTTCCAGTGGATAGATACACAGAGAGTTTTTAATTTTTGTAATTTTATAACTCTTTGAAATAAAACTAACATATTTATAACACCCTGCCGTTTTCTAACTATTAGTGTATTTCTTTCTGACATTGTTATTTTTTTTTTATTACAAAACAGTAAAGAACTGAGCATTTCTGCCTTAAATTACCATATTGGTACAAATGACTGCATGCATGTCTAATACTTTTCACTGTGACTTTAAATATGTGTGCATTTTCTTGCCTAGCAACTTCCTGCTAACATAAACAAAACTTTCTGATGGCAAAAACATCAATTTACTTTAGATATCTTTCAAAACAGCATATTATGTGCTGTGAAATAGCTCCTGTTTGAAAGTGAAAATGAAAGCCAAGACCTTTAAGTGTTTTAGTATCTTAACTACATATTTAAAAAAAAAAAGATTATATTTTTAGGGTAATGGTGTCATTAAATATGATGCCAGACATTCAAAGCTTAATTTTAATATCTCAATAATAGCTTTGAATGTAAATATGTTGTGACAATATGGCGTTTTATATAAGAACCGTCAGAATGAGCAGTATGGTAATTCTAATAGTTACAGAATTCTAGTTCCACTGTTAATATATCCTCCTCTCATGTCTGTGCTAACGCAGAATGAAGCCAGTGCACCGATGCCCATTCTGACCAATCACAGATGTTTCTGCTGAGCTCCTGAACACACAGGCACGCGGCTCATGCTGATATGCTCTCTCATTGGCTGCAGCTCGTCACTACATCTGACCACACGTGGGGTTGAGTCGGCCAACTGCTCTGGAATATTTAGCTGGAATAATGCTGAATGTTGGATTTCCGTCTGCGAGGTGTCGGCGACGCGTCAGCGAGCCTCGTTGATGCGTTGTTCAGTAGTTCACACATAAAGAGCGGCGAGCGCCGAGCACCCGCAGATTTCTTCCCGATCACAGCCCGATCTGTCGGCGAGCTCGTTAACTTCCAAATCGGGCTCAAATCAGGCTTAAAATCCTTTAGTGTGAACTAGGCATAAGAAAAACCGAAAGAAACCCGAATTTATAGTACAGTACCCTTAATGTCCAGTAGATGGCGGTCAAAACCAGACGTGTATATGTGACTGCACAACAGCGATAGTGATTCAAAAATATCTGTTTTTTTGGGCCGAATCTTGTTATGTTTTTGATGTCAGTCGAGGGCTGGAGGGAGGAGGAGGGGGCCACAAATTGCCCGCAGGCCTGCTGAAAGGCAGTGCATAAAATATAATAATAATCTAAAAGCATAGATCAATTCAACAAATGTTAATCTTTTATTTAATAAAGCGTTTTATTGTTTTCCGAGGAGTAGGCTTACCACGATAGACTGTGTTAACAGTGTTACCGGTTTTAAGACGCAACACCGGTGACATCACTTTTCAACCGTGACACCGTCCCCACATTTTTTTTTTCACAAGTATTCGTTTTTTTAAATGAAATATTTATTTGAATTAAATGAAAAATACAATTCTGAATCATTTACTTAAGACAAGAACATGCACTATAATTAAAATCTGAACATACAATGCTACAATGCGTCATATTTTATCACGCAAGGAGAACGAGAGGAGTTGAAATTACAGAAAGAGAATGGCGGACGATTTACTGTCAAAACGCAATGCAAAAGCGCCTGTTTGGCAATATTTTGAGTTCAAACCGTTTTTTTTTTTTTTTCAAGTATTCGTTTTTTAAAATGAAATATTAATTTAAATTAAATGAAAAATATAATTCTGAATCATTTACTTAAGATGAGAACATGCATTATAATTAAAATCTGAACATACAATGATACAATGTGTCATATTTTATCACGCGAGGAGAAGGAGAGGAGTTGAATTTACAGAAAGAGAATGGCGAACCATTTACTGTCAAAACGCAATGCAAAAGCGCCTGTTTGGCAATATTTTGAGTTCAGACCAAAGCAAAAAGAGAACCTAGAGACGTTAATGAGGCAATCTGCAAACAATGCCTTACAAAGGTGCCAGCATCTGGAGAAAACACAAATAATTTATACACGCACATTCAATGCCCTTGATGTTTACTTGGGTTGCGGGTAGATAAGATCAAAATCCAATAATACGCAACGCACACACTCATTTTAAAAATCACACGACCATCATCTCACAATGTTTAATAATAATTAATGTAATTTTTTATTAAAACAGATGATTTAGCATTGCCACGCCAAAAGCTGACTGCAGAGAAACAAAGAAACCATTGCAGCAACCGCGATCACTTTTTCCCTAGCTGATCACTTTTTCAGCTGTTCTTGCACTTGATTATTATGAGAATAATGTTAAAAAAATCAATAATGAATAGCCTTACAAGAGTGTATCCTGTTTGTTTCTGTTTGTGTGTGAGTGTGTGTATTTTATCACTGAAGCACTCTCTTCAAAACAACCAAAGTGTCTTCATCTGTTTTCGTTCGATATAAAATATACAGAAATGAAAAAAATCAAAGGGTGGCTAGTTTGTGTTAATGTGTTTAAATATTAATAAAAATGTGCTTAGCCTATTTAAGCTTATTGGCTATATGCCGCCAAAAGGCAAGCCATTCAAAAAATGTAATTTTACTGTGTACTGGGTTATAATATATATTTTCAATAAAAACTAAATGTAGCATGTCTCACTGTCATTTAAAATGTGCAATTCATAACACTCCAGAGGGCCTATAGTCTAGTATATAAACTTACAGGGAGGTGTTGGTCAATAGTCATACTGTGCAGTGCGCATCACATCATTGAACTCAGTATCTCTGAGGGAGATAGTTACCAGGTAGCCAATATTAACTTGAGAGATTTTTCAAATAAAAGGTATTTTAAAAAGGAACAACACGAAAATAAAAATAAACAAATAAAACTGGTCCCATGGAGTTTGTTCTGCACTTGTCATCTTGCCAGTCAGTGTGTGTATAGCGCTCTTATGCTGCACGTGTTGGCAATTCCCGCAAAACTGAAAGTATTATACGAACGCATTTATAAGCAATTTTAAAGCAGAATAAAAAGAAGAAAAGAGGAAACCCCTACGGTGATACTGGTATTACCGGTGTTGTCACATGTCGATTAACCGGTGGGGAAATTTCCTCATCGTCACAACCCTACCGAGGAGTCAAACTATCTTCGGGTATACAGTAATCGAATAATCAAATGTAAAATAAGACTGCATAGTCTTTTTTTTCATAAACAATTCAATAAAATTAATCGTTAATTTGTAAAAGGTACAATCGGTACAATTTCTTTTGCCTTAATGCTTTTAAAACTTTTACACAGTCACAGTCCTTAAAAACACTTGCGAAATAATAAATTCTAATCCAGACTCAACATTGCAAATACCCGCGATGTGACTAATGTGAATGATTACGTTGTGATATCAATGCTGAAACGATATATTATGCAGCCCTAGTATACATTCTTTGTTTGTGTGTGTAACAAGAGTAAACAAGCTTCAGGACATGCAGATTCCACAATAACAAGCTGTTCTTCTGCTTGAGTCATATCCTACCTTTTATGGGGTATCTGCAGGGTCTAAAAATTGTGTTTTTTAAATTTAAGACATTTAAAGACTTTTTTTTAAGTGTTTAAAAAGTATTAAATTCACTGAAACAGATTCAGTGTAGGTCTTGTAGGTCAATTCTTGTAAACGTTTTTTTAAATGTGTCTTAATTTTCGATCCAAAACTCTTCCAATCACCAACAACACATCCCAATAAAATTTTTAGCAAAACTACTCAAAACTAATAGAACTGTGGTCTTGTGAAAACATTTTTTTTAAGAGTTTTTTTTTTTTTTTTTATTATGTTGAACATGTATACAAAGGTCTGCTTGTTTTGACTCATTATTTAAAATATGACTAATTATTTGTTTTTCTTGCTAGGCTGTTGAAAAATCTTTAGCATCTAGCTCTATACAAGTCTGAAATATCCTTTTTTATGGTCTTAAAAATGACTCAAATCTTAAATTTGACTTGGTAAAACCTGCAGAAATCATGTTTGAAGGTTTCATTGTTAGCTGAAGTTTCATCATCCCTCATCCCTCTATAATTCAATGGCTCACAGCTTTTACTTGTATTAATTTTATAGTTTTTGCCCTTTTTATGTTTTGCAAATCTTTATTTTTATTTCAAAAGAATAGCATTGATTTAAAATATCAATTTGGTTATAGCAGAATAAAAAATATATATTTTTATTGTATTTACTTTCATTTACTTTCTTTCTTGCTCAAAATCAGCATATTAGAAGGATTTTAGAAGAATCATATTACACCTATCACTAGAGTAATGTCTGCTGAAAAAAAAAAATTTAAATTGCACTATTATTTCCTTGTTGTACTGTTTTTACTGTTTGTTCAATCAGATAAATGTAGTCTTTTTGGGCAGAAGGCTATTTTAAAAATAATAAAATAAAAATCATGAAAATGTGGGGACTAAGTTAACATTTTTTATATATTGTAAAGCATTGTGTCTATTTATGGTTTGTTTTGGCTTGTGCTTGTTTCCAGAGTTCTTTGTCCGTGTGTTCCCGCTGTGGGGAGCGCATCACAGATCGCGTCCTGAAAGCAATGGGTCAGTGTTTTCATGCTCACTGTTTCCTCTGCACCACCTGCAACTGCTCTCTGGAGGGAGCTCCTTTCATCACTGATGACGACAACAAACCCTACTGTGTCAAGGATTACCATCGGTGAGCAGCACCGTCATCACAGACCAGCGCTTAGCTGTGCTGTGACTAATAAGCCCATTTATTTTCAGTTTTCAGAACTGAACAGTGATATTTTAGTGGCTTTTTTGAACAGTAAGATTTTTTTTTTGTATTATTTTTTTAATGTGGAACTATTGATGGGATGATAACTGGTTTCAAGGTTTACCCCAGTTTGGCAATTTTTGGAGATTTGAAACTAAAATCACCAGTAGGTGGAGTGAAGTCTCCATCTTTGTCACTGAACGATTAATTTAATTGAGTTAATTTTACAGCTTTTTCATTCACAAATGGCTTTCTGAATGGACGACTCAATTATTGTCTCATATCAAAGCTCAAGACACAACATGGTATTGAGATGTACAGTGGCAGAGCTGTTTGGAAGCTTTTTCGAGAAAACGGAGCAACATTTGGACAACAGTGATTCTAAAAATGCTACACATAGTTTGCGTTCTGATTTTAGGGATAATAACGATTCATTTTAAAAACGGAACCTAGAATCTGCTGTAACTAAGGCCCCGTTTACACTGTCAGGTCTTGATGCCCAATTCCCATTTGTTACCTATATCTGACCTTTTGCCTGTCCGTTTACACGTTATTTTAATTGTGACCCATATCCGATTAAATTGTTTACACTTGCTATACAATTTATGACGTCGTCCATGCGTAAAGGTGGGTTCTAGCATCTGCGCCACACTAGCCACAATGGAATAAATTGTCTTGTTTTTAGCTCTGCAAAATATGCGAAGTTCACCCAACTTTAAAATGATTTTGAGGCTGAGGAGGAGGGAAAGGGCTGTCATCGCAGCTTGTACCTATAAGGGGGTAAGGGGGGATTGTGCTTTTACAAAGGGAGATGCTTTTTGTCATTTTCCATGACATCCCCCAGATTCCCCTCCCTCAATTGGAGCACTGTGTAAGCACAGGGTGTTCGCAGGGACTTAAAAAGTATTAAAAGTTGATAAACCAGTTATGAAAAAATTAGCCTTTAAAATATATTAAAAAGACTTGATCACATTTTTATGAGGTCTTAAATTTTGTTTAAGCATTGTCCAAAGTGTTTGACTCCAAAAAAGCAGAAATATATATTTTTTCCATCTAATATTGACAACGGTGTGCTGGATCCACACGACTGGTTCAGGCCGAGGCACATTCGGCCAAGCTCCTCCATCCGTGTGATGTCACATAATTTTCGACAAACGCAAGGTGATATGACACTCTCCACATGTAGCGAAACCATAGAGCAGGGGTCAGGAACGTTTTCAGCAAAGAGCCATTTCTGATTTTTTTTGGTAAATGGATTTTTTAAAGAGCCATTGGGTGTGTGCGTCTGTGTTGTGTGTCTGTGTTTGTGTGTGTGTGTCTTTGTCTGTGTGTGTGCATCTACTTGCCGAGGTTACCATAGAAATTTAAGTTTCTTGCTCTTTATTGCTGTTGCGATTCAAATTAATCCACAGCGCCACACATGTGGTTTGTTTGAAACGTCCTTGTATTGTAAACTGAGTTATTCATTTTGCAATAAAAATACAATAAAATTGTAATTGTATTTTCAATAGGAAACTGATTTCTAGTGACAGTTATATATATATTTCCACTTAAAAACTATTGAAGAGAGACCGCTGGAGAGCCACATTTTTTGGTCAAAGAGCCACACGTGGCTCCCGGGCCATAGGTTCCCGTCCCCTGCCATAGAGTGAAACAGACGGCAAAATGGGAAAATGTAAGTTTGCATACTTCCGGTTGGAGAAAGACGAGTTTAAACAGTGGCTGAAACCTGTTGCTGAAAAAAACCGCGTATTTTATTCTTTTAAACTTTGTTTCTTCCGTGCTTATCTGAGTTCTGTTGCATAGTTGTGTGCTCCATTGATTTATTTAACTAGAACTGTTTATTATCAACTGTTTATTAAATGAAAGGTTTGATACTGATTAGAACTATGACGTCAATCTGACGACATGTTGACGTCTTGGCCCTGCCGGGTGTTTAAGGCCATTTTTGGTCATCATACAAACATCTGTCATCTTCTCGTCAATGACATGCATTTAAACAATTTCTGGGTCATCTATGTGTAAAGATATGGACATCATCTTGGACATTTCTGTGTATGATTTGATAGGAAAGGAATCACAGGACTGAGTTTTCTAATCCCCGTAAACGAGAAAAGAGCAGTGACTGCAGGTTGAAGGAAAGTAGTGGAGCAAAAGTACCGATACAGCACAAAAATGTACTCAAGGGAAAGTTAAAGTACACATTTATAAAACTACTTAATAAATTGTCATTTCTCAGGAAAAGCTAATCAATTACAGTCATTTGAGTATTTGTAATTTGTAACTTTACACCACTGGGATTCCTGCATATACCATGATCTAACAAAGAACTTAAAATCTAGACAATTTGAAGTTCCTTGTTAGTTTTTGTGAAGTTAAATTACATTTTCAAAAATGAACACAACAAATAAGAATTATCTAATAGAAATGACATAAAAAGATTACTTCAGACACAAATGACTTGAGTGGTATAAGCACACAATTCAGTTTAATTTAACGTGACAAAAAAAAACTATATTTTAACCGCTCACCTTCTTCTCTCTCTTAGCCGTTTCTCTCCACTTTGTGTAAGCTGCAATGAGCCAATTATTCCCGACCCTGGAAGTGAAGAGACAGTCAGAGTTGTTGCCTTAGAGAAGAACTTTCACCTGAAGTGCTACCGATGTGAGGTGTGAAGAGCCCTCCTTTCATTCAAGCCACAGATTACAAGACTCACGTTTAGAAGCTTAAAAATAACAAGCGTTTCCTCTTTTGTTGCAGGATTGCGCTCGCCCCCTTTCCATAGAGGCAGACGCTGATGGCTGTTACCCGCTGAACGGCAAAATCCTGTGCATGAAGTGCCACACCCAACGTAACAAGCAAGCCAAACAGTGATTTGTGGTAAGCTGCCACAAACCCAAAGCAAAATTGAAACAGCTGTACTTTAAAAAAAAAAATGTATTCGTCATGTCTTTGTAAGTGTTTTAAATTCAAATCTGTTTCATCTTCCTCATGCAAGTCTAGGCTTTTCTTGACAAAGCTTTTCTTGCTGCTTTTTTTCTGAATGGCCTTGCCTTTGGTGCCCTGCAGTCTGGGCCTCGAGATAATGTTAGTGCCTCCGTGTTGAATGTTAAGTACGACTCAATTTTTACCCCTAGATTGTTTGATATGTAAAGTGATTTTTAGAGCGTTTTGTGGCTGGAATTTTTACTGTAGTTGATTGTGTGCAGAGGTAATGTACTGCACTGCTGTCTCAGTTCAGCGAGCTCCCAGCATGCCTTTGAAAACAAAAAAGACCTGGAACATCCGTAAATTGTAGCACAGCTGACTACTGAGGCAAGACGTGAACGTCTGTACATCCACAACCATCCGTGCACTTTCATTAAGGCTTTTCCGTAGTCGATGAGAAGGGCTTGTGTGAAAAATGTAAAGAAAAAAAAGGAAAGGCCTACGTGATTTGTGTATTTGTAATGCATGCTTCGTTTATAGAACAAATTAGCAAGTATTTTAAAAAGCACATTCGTTTTGTCTTAAAATGTATTGAACAAAATATGTGTGACACATTGCGTTGATTATCATTGCCAGTATCAGTTTTTTATTCCATAAATTGTATTTAGCGATTGCATGAGTTTGGTGATTTAAGAGTATTTCCAAAGAAAAGCACATCAGTCACAGAGCCTGTAATAGAGGGGTGTCCACACTTGGTCATGAACAGTTTAGCTTCAGCCCTAATCAAAAACACCTGAACCAGCTAATCAAGCTCTAACTAGACATACTAGAAACTTCCGGACAGCTAGGTTGAAGCAAGTTGGAGCTAAACTAAGCAGGACAGCGGCCCTCCAGGACAGAGTTTGGACTCCCCTGGTATAATATTTAGCTAGAGATACGTTCTATGGAGCTAGAGCTTTTAAAAAAGATCATGGAGTGAACAGTACTATATACACAAAAGTAAATTCACACAAAGTGTTTTTCAACACGTTCCTGGAGGACCACCAGCTGTTTTAGAACACAGGTGGCAAATCCAGTTCCTGGAGGGCCGCAGCTCTGCTAATTTTCCAAAGTCTCCTCAGTCTCCTTATCCAAACACACTTGATTCAGATCAACAGCTTGTTAGCGGAGACTGAAAGACCTGTAATGGTTGTCACAGATACAGGAGACATGCAAAACATGCAGTGTTAGTGGGCCTCCAGGATCGTGGTTGCTTTAGAACGTCCTTAACTGAGCCACCTGGTTAAATAGAGCAGAATTCGTTACAGATTCAGATCCACAGTTATTCGTCTTCATTTTTAGAACAAAAATCAACAGTGTTAATGTAGACAGAATAACTTTACGATTTTTTTAACAATAAGCATTCTTTGGTATTAATGCACAGAATTCAGTTTTTACATGATAACATTCTATACCTTCTTGCTGTTCTTTTTCTTTTTTTGATGGAAAGAGACGTCTGACTAATACCACTCAATTTTTGCTTTAGGTAGTGCTAAATATTTTGAGAATTACATCCATTTATTCCATGCCTCTGAAACAATTATTGTATTTATCTTTGCGCCTCTGTTGTTTCCTGTTTGATGAAATGGAATAAAGCGATTGCTCCATTCACAAAAATATTAGATGACCAAATGAAAATTGTAATGCGTGATTTGCTATTACAACGTTTTTATCGTTTATGCTTCTCCGTTGCTTCATTTTCATGCTGGTATCACAACACTGCTGAATTCAGTAAGATGTCATTTATTCCATGTATTTTATCATTTAACTTTGACTTTTTTTGTAAACTGAACATCTAAATTCCTCTCTTAATATGTGAATGTGTGTATGTTTACGGTCAAAAGTATGCCAACGTATTATTTTTGCTATCATTGTTCTCCTTCCACATTTGTACTGTATTCTGAACTAATAAAAATGTCAACATGACAAACTGATAAACGTTTTCATTTATTTAACTTTCATTGATTCTCTTGTCAGAGCATATTTTTGAAGTGTTTACGTTTTTACCATGTGACGCTGTCCAAATATGTTCGTTCCCACGCAATGTGTGACGTGCTCTTTTGTGGTTTTGCTCCTCTCACACCCCTCAGTTCTTATCAGCCTGGACCAGCCTCACATACCCCACTGATAGTCAAGAGTGACGACGTCTGTGCATTTAAATTTGTCATTTTAAAGGTAAATATGAATATTAGCTATGCTGCATTTTAAAATTGTGGAATGAAAAAATAAAATGCTTCCAGCTTTTTTCCAAGCTGTGTTTCTGTTTCCTAAGTTTAACTGTGGTGACTTTATTCAATTGATGGATTTGAGAGCAAAATCTTATTTTGGACCTCATAAATGTGCCAAAAGGAAAGCTTTAGAAAACAAATCCAGAATTAAAGCAGTTGTGTAAGCTTTAAGAGAAGGTTCTTGTGGGAAGCCCTGCCATTACATGGTTATCAGACGGTGAAAGTGTGAACAGAGTGCGTGATGGGGGAAGATAGTAGTTGGATGACTTGTGGTTGACGGAAGCTGAGATAGAAAGAGGAACAGTGTGACGAAATAGAAAACTTCACAGGAAGACCAATATGTAGGAAAGATTCTGACCAAACAGCCATAGTAGTTGTATTAAGAAGCACATGATGGATGAAAACCCAGCTGTTCTTCAGGTAAGGCTTATGCCTTTTCTTTTGTTTACCAGCTTTCTGTTATAGTCGCAGGAAATAGCAGTAGAAAGTGAGATGGCATCAGGGAATCCCATCAACTAGATTCAAACGTAGATCACGCATGTAATGCTGGTTACATTTTTATCTGTTTTTGTTTGTTTGTTTGCTTTCTAGTACGTAATATTTGGGTATTGCAATGTATCCCAATGAAAATATTTCACACCAAAATTAAAACTTATAATTTAGTCACCTTTCAGTTACTCTAAACTTACATGGGTTTCTTCTTTTGAATGAAATGCTGAAAGCCAGGTGGTCATATACTGGCTTTCATAGTTAAACAAAAATGGGTCAGAAACGAAATAAGAAAAAAATAAAATAATTATTTTAACTCAAAAATACTTAATGATCTTAAGTTACTTAGTGTGTTATTGGACACACAGACTCATTCATGGGCATTTAGTTGAAGGAGAAACTACTCCAAAATATCAGTTTTGCACTATCATCCTAAATATAAAACATGTCCTGTTAATGTTAGGATAAAACCTAAAGACCTATTTTTAGATGTGGATCCATTAAAAATGTAGAGTTTCTTCCAAACACATATACAGTTGAAGTCAGAACTATTAGCCCCCCTTTGTTTGTTTTTTTAAATTATTATTATTATTTGTATATTTGCCAAATGATGTTTAACAGAGCAAGACGTTTTTCACAGTATGTCTGATATTTTTACTTTTAATTATTTTTAATTATTTTTTTTTTTTTTAATTTTTTTACTATAATTTTTTTACTATTTTATGGTCAAAATTATTAGCCCCTTAAAGCTATTTTGTTTTTGATAGTCTACCGAACAAACCATCATTATACAATAACTTATTACTCTAACCTGCCTAGTTAACCTAATCAACCTAGTTAAGTCTTTAAATGTCACTTTAAGCTGTATAGAAGTGTTTTGAAAAATATCTAGTAAAATATTATATATTTGTATATGTTTATAAAAATAAAGATAAAATAAATCAGTCGTTAGAAATGACTTATTAAAACTATAATGTTTAGAAAATGTCTTGAAAAAAAATCCTCTCCGTTAAACAGAAAAAATAAACGGGAGTTAATAATTTAGGGGGCTAATAAATCTGACTTCATCTGTATATATTTATATTATTATTGCTATTGATGTCTTTTTGCTATAAATTATGCATTATAGAAATGCATGAACAGTTTTTAAATATTATCTGTTTTGCCATGCATAGAAGGTGCTATGACAATAAATTCCAAACTTTCTCTACACTGTAAAAATTTCCTGGTTGCCTTAAATTTTTAAGCTGAATCAAATTAACCTTATGAGTCCATTAAACTTGCATTTTGTTAAACTGACTAGCTTGTGCAAATTATCAAATTAATTTAGAACATGGTTATCTAAGTTTAGTAAGTTAAAATGATCTAAAAACATATGCTGCCTTTCAGGACTAGTTGACGAATTGTAGAATTTTTTTTACAATGTTTGTGGCCACGTCAGTGGTCTGCATACTGAAATATCCATATTTTATTAAGTGTTCCATAGACCAAAGAACATGAGGGTGTAGAAACTGTGTATGTAAAACTTTTGTTTTAGACTACTGTTGTTTTTAACTCCTATGGCTCTTTGACTTCATTGCTAACCAGAAAAATCTTATTTAAACTGTATATTCAATTATTTATTTTTTACTGTTGATGTTTGTTAATTACTGAAATGCTCTTGCCATGAAAATAGCCTCAGTAGCTGACATGGCACTAAATAAATAAATAACGAATTATTGAATAATTGACTTCATTGCTCATGTTTTTTTTAAATGTTTAAACCCAACAGTAAACTTGAAAATGAGTGTAGTTGACTCAAAATTTACTGAACGTTAATTCTAGTCATTTGAAAACAGTTTTAAAGGTAATAAGTTACATAACCTCATTACTTCAACTTAAATAGCTTAAGTTGACAGTAAAGATAAGTTTTTTATTTTATTTTATTTTTTATTTTTTTATTAATCAAATCGTTTGTTACAATCTGTTTCCTCGGTTTCAGTTGCCTTAATCTTTCTGTTGTGTCAAATCTGACCTATTTACAACTTAAATCACTTATAAATATTGTGTTTACATCTGATTGCCTAAAGGCCTTTAAATATCTTCCACACTATGCACTTGAACATATAAAAGTGATGATCATCTATTTTCTTGAATTTTGAGCGTTTTAATCAACCTTGTTACACCTGTGGTGTTCCCGGTCAAAAGTGTCAGCCATAGGTAATGAATGGGTATCCAGGCTAAATTTATTCATCAGACAGAAAACATCCCCACACACACTACCCCAACTCACTCATTTCAGACTGAACAATGTCTTTTGTAGGCACACATCTCTTTTACAAGCTTATGTGCTGATCCTTCAGCCTGATCCCACAAGGAAACATAACTATTTTTATGTTTTGTCTCAGTTTATTCATATGAGTTCAGTCCTACAAAATTTTACAATTTTTGAAAGGAGGCGTGGCACCCAGCCCCACCCCTAAACCCAATCGTTATTACGGATGAGCAAGTCATACTAAACTGTATGAATGAGATCATACAAATTCATATGGATTAGCTAATAAACCAATAAGTTATGAATTGCCATGGAAATGTTGGATCCTCCAACGTAAATCAACTGATAAAACAGTGTATCATATCTTCACAGACTAGGGGCTCTATTTTGATGATCCATGCGCAAAGCAGAATCCACTTTTGCTAATATAAAGACGGAAAAATCCACTTTGCGCCATGGCGCATGGTCTAAAAGGGTTGAGCTTATTTTCTTAATGAATTATAGGTGTGATTTGAGAATAACCAATCAGAGTCTCATCTTCCATTCCCGTTGCGCTATGGTGCATTTGCTATTTACATGACGGCTTTGTAAATGGAAAAACCAAGCGTTTCACTAGCAAGAAAACAGTTAAACAGAGCATCTGCTGCGCGAGAATGAGAGATAAGTCTTCTCATTATCTACTTTCATTTTCGCTCTCGTGGATAGGAAAACCTTGTACGCACAGACATCAGTTAGCCTATAACTAATTAATTTCGTTAGTTAAGCGCAGAGATTTGTTTCAAAACTATTTCTAAATTCTGTTCTAATTTCCAGCAAACAGTTATATCCTAATACACATGCTGTGCCCCATATGGTCTAAAACCTGACAGGTGGGCAAATCTAAGCTTGTTTTTAATAAAACAAATATAAATATGCATTTAAGAAATAATACTGCTAATAATAATAACATTATACAAAAGCAAATTGTCACGAATAAACTAAAAAGCCCCCGAGATGAAGAAGGCATGAAAGTTTGGTTTTTATATTTATGTAGGCTAGAAAATAATATGTTTTGTAATATTTTAATTCTTTATATTTATATCCTATATATATCCTTAATATTTTAATTATTTTTCATATGTAAAGATATTTGCGTATTGCTCTACATCTTGTGTGTATTAAGCAGTGTGTTTGAGGTGCACAACTAACGCGCTCTGCGCTGGAGTTTAGACCGGCTTTGTTCTGGTCTATTGAAAAATCTATTATAGTTTCTCAAAATAGCAACGCGCCAGCAATGCGCATTATTATTTAGACCAGAACGCCTATGGGCCCATATATGAGCTCAAATGCATTTACTATTTAAACAGCATGGCACAAAACTTTAAAATGACTCTTGCGCCAAGCTAAAACTAGCAAACAACAATTGCGTCGCGCCTTGCGCTACATTGTGTTGGGTATATGATTGGGCCCTATAGGTGTCTGTTATGTGAATCCATCTGTGTGTGTGTTTGTTAGTTTCTTTCTTTCTTTTTTTATTTTATTCTTTTTGTTTATTTATTTGTTTCTCTCTCTCACTCTCTCTCTCTCTCTGGAAAGCACAGAGAAGAAATCTTGTTCCCTTTCTTTCTTTCTTTCTTTCTTTCAATCTCCGTTCAGCCAATCTCTGAGCAGGAGCACTTTTAGCTCAGCTTAGCAACAATTATTTTGTTATTAGACTTATTATCTCGCTCAAAAATGACCAAAGTATAACTAGTGCTGGTTCTGTGTCCATGCTCACCGTATATATCCTCAGTCACTACTCCCTATATCAGTACACTTGAAGGACTGAAAATTCGATCACTCAGAACACAGGAAAGGATAGCAATTTGTTTGTGCTTTGCTAATTAATGAATCATTCTGATGGATTAAAATTTCTATTTCTTTGGCCAGACCCTGTGATAGATGTAAGCGAGCTGTCTATTAGTAATGAAACAAAGTATTTAATTTTTTGTCATCCATTGTTCATTTTGTAATATATTTTTAGCGCCTATTTTTATTTTTATTGCAGTTATTTTATGTCTAATTCTGTAAATTCATGTTAAACACTACATTAAAACTTTGTTCACAGCTAAAGAATGTTAAATAAATAATATTCTATTAGTGGAGAAAAAATATTTTTGTGCTAATATAAGAGCAGTTAAAACAGACCAGTCAATTTTAACAGGGAACACTAAAGAAAGGGGCAGGATGTGAACATGACAGGAGGGTTAACTTATTGGGCTTTTCAGTACTCAGTTGGTTTGAGTTCTCTTCATTTATTGGCTTTTACTGCACTCAAATAGCTTTGTTTGCATAAATGGATTAAGTTCACAGTACTCATTAGAATTAGTTTTTGAACTGAAATAGATTGTTGCAATTGGTTTCCTGAAATGGTTTGAGTCGCCTTAACTTTTAGGGTTTTACATTGTAGTTATATGTTTAACAAGTGAAAATAGAAGGAACGTTATCAGGTTAAATAATCATATTGCTGATCCATAGTTAATATTGTTATTTAAATTAATTTATAATTAAGTTGCTGACATGGTTTAAGAATTTTTAAACAAAAATACATGAACATTTTCTTCTCATCAAAACCAATTAATAGACAAAGGCATCAAGCATCAGAGTATGATGAGTCTCATGCTGCAGTGCATGCTGGGAGAATCATTTGAAACTCATC